GGAAACATCTGCCGCCGATGCGGCTCCGTCGTCCATCGTCCAGCCGCCGGGGGGTACATAATTGGTGTCAATCCCCTAAGGCGCCCGCGCCTCCGCTCCAGGGGCAGCTCCTTTGAAACAGCCAGGCCTGCGCTGGTGCGCACTGCACCTGGGGGTGGCCAAACGTACAGTGGACTTGCTTCATTCTCACTGCAGTTGTTCCTTAAACAAAAAAAAAAAAAAAAAAAAAAAAAAAAAAAAGAAGAAAAAAAATAAAAAAAAAGGAGAGCAAGGAAGTTTCCATTGCAAAACCAAAGGACTGTGCTGATCCAGTCACTGTTGAGAGCATTTACAGCTGTGCTGCTCAGTCTTCGTTGCCCTGCTACAAAAAGGCGTTTAAGAAAGCGTCGGGAATCCCAGGACATTTGCAGGTTTCTGTGGCATAAGAGTATTAAATTTGTAGTAGGATAGAGAAGGGATTTTTTGACAGAATGGAGGGGGAGAAAATGAGTTATCTGGGAAGCAAATGAAGTCTGGCAGGAAAATTTCACTCTATTGGAAAATTTGGTATGTTTTTACTGTGCCAGAGGAGAAAAATAGCTGTTTACATCAAAGAACCAAGAAGACCGCTCCACGGGAATCCTGAGGCAAAACAAAAGGCAGACATCTAGTAAAGAGGACTAGCTTAGGCGTATGACCAGCTCATCCATGTGCTTCCCTAAGGCACAGACCACTTCTGAAAACTGACAGTAGAAATAATTCAGCCTTACTTGGCAAATTTACTTCCCAGGATAATCTGGACAGAATCCCTGTCAACAAAATCCAAGATAAAGCTTTAATTGCATTTCACTCTGCAAAATGAATGCAACAAACCATGAGTCATCCTTGCAATGTCTTCCATCCTGTGTCTTACCTGGGTCCAATGTCTTTGCCTCTCCTGCCGTCTCTTTCTAAAGCTTTCCAGGAAAGGGTAAGCAGTGGGGAAGAAGGTCAGTCTGCAACACTGGATGTTATTTCTAGCGTAAAACTGGTTATTTTTGGTATGGAGGTTACTGAGTATCAGTAAATATAGACACTAGTGTGGCATTTTAAAGGCTTGTTACTGGCAGACGTCAAATTTTGGAAGCATCTTTTCACCAACTTCAATGTACAGGTATGATAGAAAGTGGACACAAGATATGTCAGACAGAGAGTTCTGTGTTTTCATAGTGTTGGCTTAGCCTTACAATGCTCGCACTGCATATACAATGTTCTCAGCTGTCACTTTTTACCCATTTTAGTTCTTGTGACCTATCTATGAAAGCTGTCTTAATAAAGTAGCTTTATTTATTTTTTTTTCTGCTTCATCAGCAAACTACTCCAAAAAAAACCCAACATGATTCTGCATTATGGAACACAACTTTGTGTTACTATAAACCTGTACTGTAATAAATGTTAGGCCCATTTCTGATTTCGTGTTAATCAAGAGCAAGTTAGGAAGTTACATCTGTGTGAGACTAACGAAAGAATGATCAGACTCTGTGCCCTAATTTTTCCTGACAAGGCCACAAAATAAAGGCCCCCATAGTGTGAATTGAGCTCTCCAATTAAATGTAGTTTGATTTTTCCGAAGTGCCAGACCTTTGCAGATGGCACTGAATTCATGCAGAGAGGACCTCTATAAATCAGACTGCTTTTGTTCAGATTGCTAAATGAAGACCGTCAAGCTTGGGATTAGGAAATGAGTGCTGCGTATTCTGACCTGAGACATCAATGGATTTGCCAACCTGATAGAACAAATGGCAAAACTCTGGAGGAAATTAAGCTGCGTGGAAAACGCTGGTGTCAATATGATTTACTTATTCCAAATAATAATTGTAAGTTTTCTGGATTTGCTTTTATGTGCGGTTGTGTTTGATAAATTTCGCTTGTGTTAAATCTGTGTTTCAGTTTTATTCATATTTGTGATCTAGATGCCAACAGAACAGCTTATTTTAAAATACTTCAATGAAAACACCATATAATACTTACTAAGATTGAAAACTTCTTAATTTTGCCTCTACTAGATGAATAAGTAATTGGTAGTGCCATTTCAAGTTGCTATGTGTATCCACTTGAAGGACTAGATTACTGTGGTACGCATGAACCATATTTCACACCAGGAGACATTTCATTGTGAGGTGGTTTCCATCGTTACCAAGCAACAAAAAACCTCTCTGCTCATTCAATGGCTCTGTTCTTTTTGTACCATACTTGATAAATCTCTTTTCAGGAAAGAATTCACTACTTAAACCACTGCCTTGCTCTTTATGGTTTCTATGTACTGATCTTCTGGAGGATGACCTGTAGTTTTACTGCAGTTTGTTGGCTAGGACTTCAGAAACTTGGAGAAACAGGAGCAAGTGGAGTCTTTTAAGTTTAGTGCCACATAAGGACGATAGAAGAGAATGCCCGTGGTTTCCCATGGAGCTGAAAGGCAGGCAAGTGGCTTTAAAAAGTCTGCCTTGTCACTTGAACCAGTTCACAAGATGGATCACCAACAGTATTGAAGTCTGTTAAAGAAGATGTGCGTGCCTGTTGCGAGAGGTCCTGAGAACAGACATGGCTTTGCCAGCTTTGAAGAGAAAAACAGTAATTCTTTCCTTAAATTCAATCCATTCACCTCTCCCGTAGAGCCGAGTTACCCTTTATTCCCACACAGGGATGATGTGCCTTTAGTGGATCCCTGCTCAGGTTTAGTGAGTCGAGGAGCAGGTGCTGACCTGCAGCCCAGTGCTGGAAGAGCTATTGAATCCCTGGTGGACTACAGTGACTGAAAACCTCACCAGCGGGTCCCCATCACAGGAAAGAGAGGCCAGCCTGCCCACTGGAGGCAGATGATCCTCCTGGAGGAAATCAGCCAGGACAGAATATGGAACTCCGGGTCTGTGTCAGCTGCTTCTGTCAGGGCACGGCTCTGAGGTAAAGCAAACTACTATTTTTATTTCTTAATCACCAAAGAAATTGGTGATGCTTAACAAATAAATGCAATTAGTTTCTAAACTCCATCCCCCAAGGTCCTGAAAGAGCAACCTCATAAAATATATTTGCCCTGGATATTTGAACTGAATATAATAACTGCAGTAGAGTGTATGATTCATTGTCCCTGCTGTAGCAAAGAGCTACCAGTCAGCAAATTCTACAAGCATTCTAATGCTAAATAAAAAATAAAAATCTTGGAAGGCAAGTAATGTTCTAAAAAAATCTATTTAGGTAAATTGTGACATTATATATGATAGTCCTAGTGAGCACCCGTTTTAATGTAAACCAAAATAACAAACCACTCCAGAGTCAGGAAATCCCCTGGATATTTCTGTGTCTTTTAGTGTTTCCTGACAAGTTGCAGTGCAGTGCATTTAAAGACCTATTCCAGTGTCTAGCTGATCGGAGAACAGGAGTTCTTTAGGACTGACATTACATATTAGTCAAAGTACATATTACCCTCTTATTTTATAGCAATGTGTTACACATAAAGTTGGGTCTGATCATTTTGTATTGATTACAGCATCAAAATGGAAATTCACTCTTTTTAACGTGAAGCAAAATTGGGTTGGTTGTTAATATTCAGAATTTTCTGATGAAAATTCTGAAAAGCAGAAAGGGCTTCTAAAGGCAGACATAATTAACAGTAAGCAATATGGTTGAATTTTTATAAAGATTAAGCCAATTCCAATGATTTTCTTAGAGAAATGCTCATTACAGCTAGAACAAATTTTTATGAGGACTCAGGCAACTTGCTTATAGGTGGGGGGAGGCATTTCTTAGAACATGGTAAAGAAATGTAAATAAGCTCCTTGTTCCATTTTACTCTACAGCGGTAACACTCTCGCTTCACAGTTAGCTATACTTTATCCGTGTTATTGTCACCATAAAATCTCTATGTGCTATAAATACAGGCAATGTATTTGGTTCCTTGTTTCTGTCTTTGAACTTTGCATCTTAAAGCACTTTAAGCTTACTGCAGTCATATAACAGAACCCAAAAGAACCCAAGAAACCACAGAGGATAAAAAATAGACTCCATAATTTTCCTTTTTTTTCCTGCTCATCCCATATAATTTTCACTCTTATTTGTCAGTTACCATGCTCTCCATTTACATATGAAATTAGACCTCAGACACAAATCAGAACTGATCAACTGTTTTTTTCTGAAAGCCTCTGGAAAAGTGAAGGGGAAAGAAGATTTGAGAGATGCAATTCTATCTGAACATTAATTTTTCCAACGCAGAGAAAAGGGGAGACAGAGTAGAGATACTCTGGCAGATAGAGACACACCTGAAATGAACACAGACAAAAATCTGAAACTGATTGTCATCAAGTCCTACTCCTACTAATTTTAAAATATAGCAGGTCAAAAACAGTGCACAGTTTTCGAACGACAGTGAGGTGCAGTGAAGCTTGTGAGACTTCTGGTTTTGTGAAACCTCTCTGCATATGTCTTTATGTAGTGACATAAGAATCTCACTTTTTCCTTTAAAAACAGAACAAAAATATGTTCTGGCTTGCACGGCTTCTGGGAAACGGCTTAGAAGTGTGAATGTGTACATCTTCAGTTTCTGACTCAGAATCCAAACCAGAAATTCCCTAAATTCATTATCCGTCATTGGATCCTGCTTTGTCAGATTAGGAGATTAGTTTAAGTAATAAACTGAAACTGATAGTATCATTAAGCTTGTCATTAGTTAAAAGTGATAAGGCCAAGACACTGAGTTCCCAACTTGGACAAGAACAGATCGTGCCATTTTCAGTCCTGTGGATTGAGCAAATCATTAGGGGCATTGAAACCTCCAGAAAGTTGACTTAAAGAAAAAATTATTGCCATTTCTATGCTAGATCTTTCCACTGAAAGCAAAAGGAGAAGTAAATGTTAGAAGATTAATCATCCAGGCCCGTAGTGTCAAGATGGCAAATTACAGTATACAGTGCAAAAGCAGAGGTCTCACGAAATGCGTATGTACAATTATCAAAGCATATGTAAAATTATATACATGTCCTCCTAAGGACTTTGCAGCTGACATGAGTGTTTTACACATACAACACAAGGAGTAACAGTTGTAACCTTTAGCTCTTTAATCGATGAACCAGAGGAAGACTATTTTTATGGAACTACTAGGTTGTATGGATGGATATAGTTGAGGCATCTACCTCTTTACTGTAGAGGGCACTAGTACATACATATGTATTAAATAATTACAACATTTCAGACCTAAAACTTAATGGAAGCATTCCCATATGAGTGAAAGTTGTATATTTGCAGATAGCATTTAAAGTTTACACAAAGCTGAGGCAATGAAGATGCAGCCACCATCTTTACTGCAAACACGTGACCTGTTTAAGAGACACTTTCCAAAAGAATTGTTATAATTTGAGAGTGATTCAGTTTAAAAGCTCTTCATAGTGTAAAGATCCACGAATTCTGTCAAGCTTTTCAAAAACAGCAACTTAAAGTTATAGCACAATGAACAATAAGCTCTTTTAAAAACCAGGTTGTATTATTTCAGTACCTACATATAGCATTAGGATACTAAACTTAGTCTCTTTTACTGAAAGCTGTGATTTTTCTTTTAAACTTTGTCAGAGTGATTAGTTCTGCAAGACCTAATTTTGCATCCTGCACAGTGGTTTTCAACTGTTAGTCTTTGTATATTTAGTAATACATCTTTCCCAAAGTCACCAAAAAGCATAATGCTATTTAATGGCACAGCAGTTTGAATGATACTCTCATACATATCCCTTACCTTATTTATAGGATTATTTTGTGGGTTTTATCCTGATTCCCTAAGGAGATAAGTTGTTTTTCATTCATCTCTCAAGGATAATTGCATGCCTGCAAGATTTTTAAAGGTTGAAGTCTGGGGAGAGGAAAGACAAAAATGAGTGTTCCTCTTGAGGGAGCTGAAACTCAGGCATTATAACATCTTTCTATTTGGCAGCAGCTCACTTGGTTGTCAGCATGTGTGTACTGGCTCACCAATCAGTAGATATGTGACTCTACAGTAACTGCAGGATATGGCCTCTTGGTGGGTAAGCCTGACCCAGTCAGGGAGAGCTCAAATTATTGGAATGTGAAGTTGGGAGGATGAAGGAGAAATAACTTTAGGAAATCAGTCACCTACTGCTTATGGAATAGCTTGTTTATTGCTTTCAGGTTGTCAAAGATTGTGTAACTGTAGAAATGCAATATGCAATTACTAGTTTGGGTTGCATTAACAAGCTTTTATTATTATGTTTGCTAATTTGGATACTTCCCTTTATACAGTTAGTACTGTACATGACAATATGTGAAGTAGGCCAAACCGTACCAACATATGTTGTGATATTATTTATTGCTTACTTTCATCTTCCATGTAATTTAATGTATTTTTGTGAAAGTTTGTAATTCAGAGTGGTAAGAGGTAATTGAACATTGGTGCATCAATTTTTATGAGAAGCCATGAGTTGTTTTCATCCAGTTTAAAACAATAAGGACTGCTGCAAATTGATTAACACAATAGGAAGCCCTTTCTTTCAGGTTGAAGAACTCCAGTAAAAGTTGCTTGTGTTCTACCTGACCAAAACCATATTTTTGTATTTTGTATGGATACCACCAATCACAAGGCAAGTGTCTGGTGCTCTTCTTGGAATGACAGAAAACATATTTAAATAATTTTGTTTCTAGTCTGCTTTCCATTTAACATACTTCTGGCAGTGATCACAGTACTGTAGTGAAATCAGGCTTTTTCATTTCTTCATCTAATTATATTGAAATAAGGGCTATATTTCAGGTAGCTGTATGTTAGCATGATCAGGGTTTAAAGGTGGCCATTACTGCAATAATTTTCATTTTTTGTACTGTTACTCTGGTTAAGGCATTTAAGACTGTAATGTGAGACTGATACTACCAATGTCAGTCAGTTATATGTAACTGGAGACAGAGTTGGAGCAAAAATACCAGAATGTACAAAAGATACCAAAACCTCATACTTGGTACAAATGCTCATATATTTAATACTTTGGCACTGCCTTATTTGGTGCAAGTCACAAATAAGTAAATCAAAATACATCAGTGATTCCATAGGGCAAGTCTAATTAAGTCTTTCCCATACTGAAAATGTAATGGCATCCTTCATCCTACACTGATGAGACTGTTCATAGTCCTTTAAGTGTTGCAAATGCTTAAATAGTTAGAAATTAGAATAGAATAGAATAGAATAGAATAGAATAGAATAGAATAGAATAGAATAGAATAGAATAGAATATTTTGGTCAGAAGGGACCTACAATGATCATCTAGTCCAATTGCCTGACTGCTTCAGGGCTGACCAAGTTAAAGCATGTTGTTAAGGGCATTGTCCAAATGCCTCTTCAACACTGACAGGCATTGACCACCTCTCTAGGAAGCCCGTTCCAGTGTTTGACCACCCTCTCAGCAAAGAAATGCTTCCTAATGTCCAGTTTAAACCTCCCCTAGTGCAGCTTTGAACTGTTCCCATGCATCCTATCACTGGATGCCAGGGAGAAGAGCTCATCACCTCCCTCTCCACTTCCCTTCTCAGGAAGCTGTAGACAGCAAGGAGGTCACCCCTCAGCCTCCTCTTCTCCAAACTAGACAAGCCCAAAGTCCTTAGCCGCTCCTCATAGGACATTCCTTCCAGCCCCTTCACCAGCTTTGTTGCCCTCCTCTGGATGCATGCAAGTACCCTCACATCCTTCTTAAATGGTGGGGCCCAGAACTGCGCACAGTACTCAAGGTGAGGCCGCACCAACACTGAATACAGCGGGATGATCACCTCTTTTGACCGGCTGGGGATGCTGTGTTTGATGCACCCCCGGATGTGGTTTGCCCTCTTGGCTGCCAAGGCACATTGCTGACTCGTAATGAACCTGCTGTTGACCAGCACCCCCAGATCCCTTTCTGCAGGGCTGCTCTCCAGCCACTCCTCTCCCAGTTTATACTTGTGCCTGGTATTACTCCGTCCTAGGTGCACAATGTGGCATTTGGACTTGTTAAATTTCATCCCACTAATCACTGCCCAATGCTCCAATCTATCTAGATCCCTCTGCAAGGCATCTTGTCCCTCAAGACAGTCAACAGCACCTCCCAGTTTGGTATCATCAGCAAACTTGCTAATGATGCATTCAGCTCCTGCATCCAGATAGTTGATGAATATATTGAACAGAACTGGCCCTAGAATTGAACCCTGAGGAACACAGTTTGTAGCAATGAACATTATACAAATACATCAGGCATGTGTGAGGGACTGCAAAGTGTGTTTGCTATGCCATTTTATAAATAATATAACAAATAGAAAGCTACATTCCTGAGAACTAGAGAGGCAAGGGCATTGTATTAGTTTTTAAACTTGTATGCACTATATTAAATTTTCCTTCCTGAGTAAAACTCCTAAGAAATAGATCCATTCTTGATCTCCAGTGCTGGCTGGTGAAGTATGTGAAATTGCATGTTTCACATTCTGATGCAAAACAAGATAGTAAGCTAGGAAAATGCAGGTACATACAGTTCACTCTTTAAACAAGCAATCATAGTATCATACATGTTGATAGCATTGCTTTCTGCCATGTATTTGATTTCTTTTAGGAATCAAGGGATCCTTCTGCAAGGTGGAGAGAAGAAAAAGCAAGGGACTGTTTCTACAAGTCAAATACTCAAAAGTGAGACAACGTTTCTTTTAAAGACAGTTTTTGCTTCTGCTCTGCTTCATTTTTTCATCTTTTTGCTACTATGCACCTTTAGGTAGCAGGACATATAAGACTACAATTTTTCTATCACTCAGAACTTCTGGTGTTTTAACAGCATTTAGCATAGCATTCATCTCATGAACTTTAGTTATCTAAAAGCTTGCATCCAGTCTGTGCCTTTCTTCTGCACTTCCTCTATAGGCAGTGAAGAGTAACTGGAGTTTCCAAAAGGGCATTCTATACATCTGTCTTCAACGCCTGTCACAGGCTTGATATGACTGGTGTCTAATCTCTATTTATGTCTCGTCTCACTTAACTGATTATTCAAATTTAGACAAAATAAACCCCATCATCACTGTAAGCTTATTGGAATATAAACTACCTCTTTCAATTAGTGAGTGAGAAATTTTTAAAGAAGATAAGCCTGTGAAACTGTACCATAACTAGTTGTTCCCCAACAAGCAACATATAATTCCAGGCTTTTAATTTCCCTTTAAGCTAGAAATATACACCTTTGTTATTTTCTACATCCTTCTTTGTCACATAATTCCTTATTATCTAGCTACCCATGTCATTCACTAATGATTATATGGAAACTTTTTTCTCTTCTTTTTTATTGTTGATCTAGAGCTTATGAAGAAGTTCCTTGGGATAATATTTTACCTTCCAAAATCCAGCCTGTAGAATCGACAGTGGAAGTGTTGGCTGATCCTGTTTCCCAGTGTTTCACAAAAAGGAGATACTATCCTGAACCTGAAATAAGCCAAACCAGTGAACAATTTCTTGCCAACTGGTTTTAGGTTTTGCTAATGAAATGTAGCCTAAATTTTGTGTAGGTCATACACATAAACCTGCAGCAGTGTTTTCAAATAAAAACAGAACCAAGTGAGCATTTAAGGTCATCAGCACACCCAGTAATTGCTTGAAATGATTTCATATTTTTCCTTCCCCCTCCCCTGTAAATTGGTACAGAAGAATATATGCATGCACAGTACCAAAAGAGGATAAGGATATTGATGAAAAATTGGTTGATAGGAATGATGCTGTAGCATAACAAATCTCACATTAAGTTAGTTTACTTGTGATTATTAACTGTAATAATTATTATTTTTACTAAACTAAAATTCAGTCCTGCAATTGGTTCCGACTGGTGCATGAAAATCTATTAAGCCAAATTAGTTAGCTAATGTTGCCTTACAAGAAGCATCTAATTATGATTTTAGGTTGTTGGAGGCTTCTGGGACAGATTTCAGACAAGAACTTTTACCTCTCCACAGAGACCTGTTGATTTGGAAGTTTCATTTTTTTGTGAATATTGGGGTCCTCTGAACACTTCCTTTGTGAAGCTTGCATACAGTTAATTATTTCAGAAGACTAAACTCAGCAGCATTCTATAACTAGAGAAGTTAAGATGCTTAATCAATAGCTATATGAAAAGCATACTCTAACATGCTTCTCCTGTGAGAGAGTTAAATATAAAAAGCAGAACAGAAGAAATCTATAAAGTGAATGCTTGTCATGACTGCATACAACTGATATTTTCAATGAGACATGACATTTATGAAAACATGGTAATCATACACATGTACAGACTCAAGGTTTTATCTGCTGTCTGTAGAATCCAAAACAATGTCAGAGTGGAGCATTTTAGATGAGCCCAGTAAAGGGTGACAAGAGGTTCAGAAGGGCTCAGATAAGAGCCAGGTAGAGACAGGGAAGGAAAGGTTGGTCAAAGCAAGACAGGAAAGCTAGAACTTGCCTCCTTTCCAGGCCATGAGCCAGCAGGTTTTCTTGGGCAAACTCAATGGGTAGGTGTGCTACTGGGCACAGGCATACCATGGGAGAGACAGGTACCTCTGCAGAGTGGAAGGGGGATAGAAAACACTATCATTATGGTTTCTTGAATGTTGCTATTTCAAAGGAATATAGACATGGTCAGGGAGAGCAGCTTCCAGGGACAGACCAAGAGAGAAATTCAGACCTGATAAGTTTTCCCATGTTCTCAAGAATTGAATGAGAGAAGTGTTACAAGAAGAGAAGTAGTTCATTTTTAAAGAATGCTTGCTTATACTATCCTAGGAAATTGAAGTCCCAGTATCTGATAATGAAATATTAAAAGATAAGATTCTGCCTGCTG